TGGGCCGCTTGGGCTGTCTTGAGGTCCTGTTGGGCCCTGATGCGCCGTCTTGGGCCGGTCTCGGGTCTGTGTAGGACTGTCTTTGGGGCCGTCGGAGGCCATCTTGGCCGTCTCGAAGGCGGGCGTTATGCAGATGTTGGTATTCGGGTGTTCCGGCTTTTGGGGGGCTTCCGTGCGGCAGGCAATTGGGGCCGAAGATTTCGGGAAGTTCTTGGAAGTGACAATCAATGATGTGAGATTCGGCACGCTAAGCACCTCTCCAGCAGGTTTCTGGGGCGGCGGATCGAAGACGCCTATGTGGCGATCACCGCAGCCCGCTACCTTCCGGAAGCGCCTCTGCGGCCGACGTGGACAGAGCTCGGCCACGGTATCGGATTGCCTGTTTCCCCAGCGGTTGCGGGTAATTTTCGGTGGGAAGGAAGAGGAAGAGGACGAGAGGAAGGAAGAAGGAGGAGGAGGAGGCATCTTAAGCTTCTGGGGCACTCCTGGGGCCTCCTTGGCGCCTCCTGGAGGCCTCTTCGAGGCCTCCTTGGGCCTCTTGGCCGCGGGCGTTGTGTAATTTCCACGTCTCTTGAGCGTTCCTGGCTTGTCTGACGCTGTAGGAATCCGTCGGGGGGGGCTCTGTGGGCCGGCTTGGGGCCCTCTTGGGGTGCTTCAGAATCGTCTTGGAGGCCAACCTGGGCGGCCTCTTGGAGGTCTCCTGGCTCCGTCTTGTGGCCCTCTTGGGGCCGTCTCGGCGGACTCCTTTGGGCTGTCAGGGGGGGGGCGCATCCTGGGCGCTCTTGTGGCCATCTGGGCGCCCTCTGGGCCCTCCTGGGGCTTTGGGGAAAGGAGCAAATGCCAAATTCCTGATTGAAAATCCGTGATCTTTGCCTCTTCGGGCCTTCCTGGAGCTCCTCTTGGAGGCCGTCTTGGAACCCTCTTGGGGGGCCTGTTGCGCCGTGCTGGGCCATCTTGGCTGCATCCCGGCCCGCCTTACAGACGTCTTGGGGCCACTTTGGACTCTCGAAGACATGTCAGCAATCTTGGGAGAACAAAAATCAGGAGGGGAAAAACACACACAGACACAATTAATCGTCGATTCCCGAGAAAATAATCAGGAAATATGGGAAGTGGGGGGAAGACAAAAACCCAGAAACTATAGGAAAAGATGGGGAATCTTTTTATGTGTGTATTTATTTGCGTGTCCTGGGGCCCCTTCAAAAAAAACATCTTGGAGGCTACCGTTGCCGCCGTGGAGGCGAGCTTCCCGGCTTGTGTGTTCCCGTCCTGCGCGATCGTCCGGGTTGCCAGCGCGAGCGGCCGAGACCCTTTTTGGGGAACCCTTTTGCAGAGGACCAGCATCTACCCACCTACCTCCTCCTCCTCCTCCTCCTCCTCCTCCTCCTCCTCCTTGGCACGCCGTGTACCCCTGTGGCAAGCCCCAGGGGGCGGCGGGTCTTGTGGCCTTCGGCTCATCCCGCCGCGCAGGCAGGCGCCCCCGGCTGCAGCTGCTCTGTGGGCACGCGGCTGGTGGTCTGCCGGGCGCAGAGGGCTGCGTAACCTCGCTCTAATTCGGGGTGCGCGTCACTTCCCAGGGTGCCAGCTCTCTTTCTCACCATGCAGCTTCATCACTTTCTGGCCGGCTGCTGCATTCAATCTTTACTTACTTAGTTATTTACTTACTTGCTTACTTACTTTGGCTCATCCCGCCAACGTGCCTGGGTCGTGGACAAGACGCCCATGTAATGCCCCTTTCTGGAGCGTCTTGGAGGCCTCTCGATGGCTCCTTCGGGGGCACGACTCGAGGGCACCCGAGGGAACTGCGCTCGGTGCCTCGCGGCCCGGTGGCGGATTACGAGCGGCTGAGGCCGGACGAGGTGGACAGGGTGGCGAACACGCCGGTGACGATCAGCCGGGCAACGAGCTTCGGGGAGTGCCCGCTGAACCCGGCGGCGTACGAGGCCGGCGAGGCGGCCTGCTCCCTGCACGCGCTCGAGGGCGAGGAGCCGCTGCTGGCAGCCGAGGCGTCGGGGTAGGCGCCCGTGCTGGCGGCGCGGTGCTCTGGGCCCCGTGGGGGCCGCAGGGGCGGTCTGCTGCTGCGGCGGCTGCGCGTGGGGCGTTCCAAGACTGTGTTGGTCTTAGGCGGAGCTGAGGGAGCTGATTCATAGGCGGGGACGCACGCGCGGCCATCTTAGCATTCCCACATCGCTGACAACGTTTTTCGAATGCCAACTTATCTGTCTGGGTTACAAATGTAATCCACCAAGGGATCATCTGTGCGCACATTTAAATCCTCCTCCTCCTTTTCCTACCCCTCCCCCCTCCTGGCTCCTTTGACATTGGAGGTTCGGGTGACATGTGTGGGTCGAATGTAAGATAGTTGCGGTGGCCGGGCGGACTCCCCCCCATCCCCCTAATCACCCTCCTGCTCCCCCCCTCCTTCTCCTTCCCCTCGGAGGGCGCATCCCCCGGAGCCTCTGAGAGCACCGGGGACTTCCGAGAGCCTCCGAAAATCACAGAAAGCCACCAGAAACATCCGAAAACATTCGACGAGCGACGAGGACCACGATGGCGTTGACGACGGCGGCGACGGCGGCGACGGCGACGGCGACGATGACGGCGACGACGACGGCGACGGCACGACGACGGTGGCGACGACGGCGGCGACGACGGCGGCGACGACGGCGGCGACGACGGCGACGGCGGCCCCCCGCGGCCCAAGCCCGCCCATGGCGGGGGCGCCGGGCTTGGGGGCCCTGGCCCCCGAGCGGCTCTGTCGGGGCGGCCACCCCATATCCCCCCGTTTGGTGGGGGGGGGGGCAGGGGAGGAGGACGCGGAGAAGAATGAGGAGGAGGATGATAAATGGAGGTGTTGTGTGAGGCGGAAGAGGGAGAGGGAAGGACCGACGGATGTACGATGGCATTAGCTCAGCTGTGGCGCGTGGTGCACGCCAGATCTCTCGAGGTAAACTTGGCAGGCGCAGCACTTTCACGCGCTGGACTCGATCGGACAACCCATACATCACAACAACAGTCATTGATTAGATCTGAACCGATCGAAGACAGCACGTTGCACAACAGAACGCGCTTCCCGAGGATCCACAACCGTGCTTCGAGGTACGAGTTGGAGAGTCCTCGGGTCCCTTTGAGGCCCAAGGGGTGGATTTCTCAGGAGGCCTCGGGCCAAGAGGGTCCAATGAGCCCCCAAGACTATCCAAGAGGGCCTTGATACTGGCCTAGAGCGTTCCAAGACGCCCAAGACGAACTCAAGACGGCCCAAGAAGCCCCCAAGAAGGACATATCGCCGAGTAAGACGGGCCAGGGGCCCCCAAGAGTCCAAAGAGGGCCGCAAGAAGCCCCAAGAGGAGCCTAAGAGGGGGAACGCGAATTGTCAGTCCAAGCCCTCCCCTTGCCCCAGTAACCGCCAGCAGCCCCCGAGAGTGAGTTCCCCGGGAGCCCCCGAGCCCCACCCCCGAGAGGCCCCAAGGGTGCCCCCGAGTGTTCCCCAGATGATCCAGAGAGGTTCCCCTACAGACCCCAAGAAGCTCCTGATCCAGGCACAGTGGCGGAACAGGCCGCAGGCCACTTGATACTAGAAACCGCCGAGATGTCCATCACGCAAGTCGATTGCTTGGTGAGCTCATGATTTAGCTTCGAGCGGCACCTTTCTATCCAATCCAGCGCCCAAGAGGTGTAAGATTGGCTGCACACGCCCCCCCCCCCTGTCGACCCCGGCGACGGGTCCGCAGGGAGTCATTCCTTGAAATTTAAACTCGCAAGCTCTGGCGCAGCCCTCAGCGAAAGTCGTCACCATCTGAGTCAGGATCCTCCTTGTCATCCCACGCGCTGCCGTCCGAGAGCGAGGAAATCGACCCGTCTCCACCCTCGCCGTCTTGGTCAATCGTCTTCTTGGGCTTCTTGGCCTAAGGCTTCGTGTCCTTCTTGCCGGCGGCATCGTCCGCCCCCAGCTTCTCAGTCTTCTTTCCCCCCTCGGGATTGCCATCTTCGCCCTCCTTCTTGCCTGGCCTCGACCTTTTCTTGGGCTCAGCCTTAGGATCATTCCCAGTGGACTTCATGATGGCGGCGATCGCGGTGCTGTAGATCGGGCTGCCAGTGGTCTTCATCTCGGCAAGCACGGAAGTCCGCGTCATGGAGCGGATTTGCTCCGCATGTTCGGTCGTCATGCACAGACCGTAGTATCCAATCTTGAGTTTGGCGCAGGCGAAGGCCGCCCCGCCGCATTCAGGGGTCATGTCGTAGACGACCTTGACGTAGAAACGCTTGAAGGGGGCCTCGAAGAACGTCGATGGGAGCGAGTTGAAGAACACGCGCTCTACCGATGCATCAGGGCGCTTCTCCTTATCTCCGTTGGGGCATAGTCCTCCCACTGGGATGCGTCAAGAGCCATAGATCTTCTTCTTGTTCAGCACGGTGTCGACCCACTCGTTGTCGGGGTTGCCGAGCACCACGGGCTCCAAAATGGTGCCACGATTGGTCTGGCCCTGGTAGATGTCGCACGCGCGCTCTGGGAGGCAAATCGGAGTCTTCGATACACGGTGGGCTCGAAGCGTCTGGCACAGCAGCGCCGTGCCCCTCACTTGCCCCTTTTCCTCGCCTTCTCCGAAGACTCCAGCGTGAAACAGTCGATCTTTCGTTCACAGTAGCCCTTCTTCTTGACCTCGATGTCGCCTGGATCTGCATCGTCATCCGGGTCATCCTCAGCGTCCTCTCCCTCCGGCTTCGTCGTCTTCGCCAGGCCTTTGACCCAAGGCTTGATCAGGCGCTTCACGAGGCCTGGCCTGGAGCCATCCAGGCAGCACACCAAATCGCCTTCGTTGAGGGTGGCGTTCGAAGCGTCCTCGCCTCGGAAGCGGCCCATCATGATCGCGGCCACTGCTCGCTCGTACAGTTTGTCTGGCACAGGGGGCTTGCGGGACCTGGGTTGCGATGCAGCTTCGCACCAAGTGTCAGCGTTGAAGAGAATTATGGCGAATCCGCTTCCGTCCCTGGCCTGCTTTGCCAGCTCGCTTGACTCTGTCATAGTCTTCAGCTCGTCCATATGGGTGGGGTAGACGTTGAAGGAGCAGTACCTGCGCACGTGCTTGTCCAACTCTCTGTTGAGATCTTTGAGCTGCGTCTCCTCGAGAGCCTTCACTGCTTCCTCTAATTTGGTGTTCTCAGCGCCAACAGCGTGCGTAATGGGAGAGGCGGTCGGTTTACCATTCTTCTCGTCATCGGCGGTCATGGTGATGTCGCAGTCTGGGGTCGTCGCCTCAGCCTCCAGTTGTTGAAGGCACTTGTCCAATTCGGTCTTCACGGACGGGTGCTCCACAAATTCCAACACACTTTGCGAGCCTGGATGCAGTTCCGCATTGAGGACTTGTAGCTGTCCCCGTAGATGATAGACTCTGCAAGCGTCAGGATCATGGCGGAGCTCTGCGGCCAAGCACTGAGGAAAGCTATGTCGTTCACGGCGTCCCCTGGGCGGTTGGTGAGGGCCTGTCGGCACTTGGAATGCGAAGACAAATACTCCCGAATCTTCGCGTTGAGCTCTGGCTTGATGTGGTGCTTATCGATGAACCGGAACACACACTCCTTGAATTCCTTCTGCAACAGCGCGCAGCTGCACAGGATCTGAGACAGCTTCACCACACTGAACTCACCGATGTGAATATATCCCATCTTGAAGCCGTCGTACAAACGCCTTCATGATCCATTCGATGTCCTCTGGGACGCGAGCCTTACTGATGATGGCATTGAGTTTGTAGACGCTGTTGAGCGGCGTGCTAACTATATTCGGCGACTCCTCTTCGAAAGCACGGAGCACAGACCGGCAAGAGGCAATGGACATCAACCGTGATCTGATAGTCAGACAACAATCATCGAACGATTTGTTCATTGGCTCACTGGAGTCCGCCAGCCGGACGCTCTTCAAGTGCTTGGTGAGGACGGGTTCGTTCACCTGCTTCGATAACTCCTTCGCGAGCCTGGCACGTTCGATGAGCACGAACTCGATGCGCTGGAGTGTCGTCCACCCTGCTCGCGAGGGCTTCTGAGAAGTCCCGCCGCCGTCTGAGAAGGCCTTCTCCTTCCCGTTTCCCCCCCTCGCTCGCCGCCGAGTCAGGAATCGAAGTCATGTTTCTGTCCGCAATGCAGGCATTCCGTCAGGCACTGGGCCTACACGAGCCCTTCTCTCTGCCATCTGCTGCCACTACGTCGGGCGAGTCCTCACACAGGCGGATTTTGAAAGAGAAGTGAGACATAGGCGACAAACTATCAGAAGTAGCCCAAAATCGTCGAAACTCGTCCCCAGTTTATTTTTCAAGCTATGTTTGAAGAGTCCCTCTCACACAGGAGGTTTCTTGAGAGAGAAGTAGGACATAGGCGAGAAAAAATATCAGAAATGGCCCAACAAATCGTCGAAACTTGTCCCCAGAGTATTTTTCAAACTACAGTCGGGCTGCTGAAGAAGGAACCCTTTTCGCCTGGGAGGGGCTCCGTGTTCCTCAGCTGTTTTACAGTGCTCCTTGGGTTTTCCTGAGGTTTCCCATGGGAAATCTGAGTTTGACTCATGGGAAAAAGGGGGCCTCGTTCCTGATTGATCGTCCCTTAGGTCAACGCCCCGACTGTGTGTTTGACGAGTCCTCCTGTGGAGGGGCAATGCCCGACGTCCTGCCGCCAGAGCCTCCCCCCCCCCCGCGAGGCGGACGCCCGCCGCCGCGAGCAGCCACGGGCGGCGGCATCCCGGAGCGGAGCCCGGTGAGCGGGCCCGGCGGCTCTCCTCGTCGCACGCGCCGTCCTGGCCGTCCACGCGGAGGAGGAGGAGGAGGAGGAGGAGGAGGAGGAGGAGGAGGAGGAGGAGGGGAGGAGCGAGGAGGAGGGAGGAGGAGGAGGAGGAGGAGGAGGAGCAGCGAGGAGGAGGAGGAGGATGAGGAGGCGGAGGAGGAGGAGGCGGAGGAGGGAGGTAGCAGCGAGGAGGAGGAGGACGGAGGCGCGAGGAGGAGGAGGAGGAGGAGGGGAGGAGGAGGAGGAGGAG